CGAAAGTTACAAACAGAGGCACACCTTTCATAATACTCCGCCCCTTCCTCCAGGCCTGGAAGCAAGCCCAGCAGAAGCCCGTTGAGACCAGGCTTAATGTGTCTGCCCAGGGCCACAAAATGCCTCTCGTAGACGGTCAGCAGGATTGGCTTCACGCTCATGGCCGCATGGCTGAGCAGCGGGAAGAGCCCGGCGCTGTATATGAACAGGTCGTGGGCCAGCCGCTGGGTGCCGATGCATTTAAAGATGATGTCGTACGTCTCCAGGGCCTTGAGGTGTACGCCGCTGGGGAGAGCCGGGTGCAGGCACTGGGCCAGACGTTTGCCAATCGTCACTTTCTTGGGGATCACAGGGTATTTCATATGTGACAGCAACACCTGGCAGGAAAATAATGGTAATCTCAAAATGAAACTTAAAAAAAAACCCACAGTCTGTTCATCTGTGAAGTATGATTATAATGTGTGATTGTATGATTGCAGGTGTTTTACAATAAATGTTTATAGAATTGGAGACATTTCAAGCCCCAACTGATAAAATTTAGATGTAATTTTAAGAATCCGAAGCAGACAACAGTATTAATAAGGGAAACAATGATGTCACAAGTACTAAAAATGAGTATTCTTTAGGGTTATAAGTAACACATTGAAGAGATAGTGGTCTTTTAGCACATGTAAAAAGTAAGACAAACAGGGAAATAACAGATGATCGTCAGTTTTTTATACATCACACGGTACTTCATATGTAACAACCACACCTGACAGGAAGGTTATAGTGATTAACCTCAGTGTACACCTATGAGGCGCACCTGTTACAACATTTAAATGCATAAAGATGAGGAATGTGTACTGCATTAATAGCCAAAATGAGCTAACATCTCTGAAAAAGTAACACTGACAGACGACAGACGCAAAAGAAGTGGGTTCTTCCTGCAGAGCCCTTGAATAACCCACAAAATGAAAACAAAGTCAAAACCAGACAACAACGCTGATAAAAAGCACATTGCCTCCGTTTAAGAAAAGTACATTGTCGGGATAACAGTTATTTAATGCCAGGGGAAAAAGAGAAACGAAATTGACAAAAAAACACAGATAGGTGGTCGAAAAGTAGGCCCAAGAAGTGGCACCCTCACCACTGGCAGCAACTTTCAATAAGAAACAATGTTTTTCATTACAGACACACAAAACAAAAGACTTTATAATAACACACAAAAGTATCAGAAAAAGAGTAAAACAAATACAAAGTACAGCCAAATAATTTTACCTTGTTCAGTTTGGCTAATGCGGAAATGAGATCTGCCCACTCGCTGGTGTACTCAAAGTTGCGGAGGGCTTTCTCCACATGAGTAATGTACGAGCGGTACTTGGAGTCTGTGAGGAGCTCACACTCCTCTACTGTGAGCATGCTCATCTTGACAGGTTGAGGCTGAGGCGAAAAAAGAGAAAAAAACAAAAACGTTACTAATTATACCTACTAAAACAGAAGGAAAGACAAAATGGAGGACCTACCAGTGGTGTCTTGCAACTACCTGCATCTTTTTTTTCAAAACAGGAACTTAATTGACTTAATGAGATTCATGAAGAGTAAACGGAGCCTGTAAAACCAACCCCTGAACTTTCAGTTGATTTTCTTGTTCCCTCCCTATATACTATATATATTTAGAACTGCCCTTACAAAAGTAGTTACTTAGGGAGTGAAAGTTTTGCATGTTTGAATAAAGAAAAGCATGTCAACACAATAATTATCATATGATTTAGAGCAAGGTAACTTCAGAAAGACAGGCAGGCAGGAACAAGAGAAGGAAAAAACAAATAGGGCCTATCAGCAAGACCCTGAACCACCTGCGGAGTGAGAAGAAGAAAGAAAAATTGCAAATGAAATAGAAAAGAATATTCTGTTAGTCTGATTAAATCATTAAACACAAACAGCTCCTTCCAGTGGACCAAGCTTCAACCCAAAATAATGAATGACAGCAGAAAGATGGAAGACTTGATAAAGTTCCCACCCTGGGTGGTGCTACTGAGTGATGTGTCTTTAGGCTATTCCCAAACGGGGGACATTAACATGTTCTTATGCACAGTGGAATTGTAAATGGGCTGATTCATCAATGTCATGCTCAAAACTGTGCCCTCACTGCAACAGGGAACAGTTGCTTTCTCTTTCCTAATCTTTACTATTGTCATTTTTCCTCTTATTCTTTTGTATGTTTGTCACACTCTTGTGATCCGCTATTTCCGGGGTGCCTTGATAGTCGAAGCAGACTTTGTGCTGTTGAAACTAGAGAGGTGAGCAGAGTAAGCTTGATTCCCAGTAAGGACTTCTCTGTTGACATTCACCCCTTGGCGCTCATATGACCTTATGCAGTTGCAAGCGCCGTAAAGCCTCTTCCAAAACTAAAACACTTAATAAAAATTCTCTCAACCTGAGAATCGAACTTATGTCAATTGCATGCAATAGTGCTACACCACAGAAGCCGATATAAGAAAGTGAGAAGACAAAGAAGCAAAGGAGGAGACCGAGAAATAGAACGTGTTTGAGTTTGAGTAAAGAAAAACAAATTGTCTTAATCATAGTGCTTGGCGGAAAACGTAACATCAAGCAATTGTTATTGTAGAAGTTTTGTGCCCTCATGGATATTATTTAGACCATTTAGGAGACAGGCTGCTTTGACACTGCCTGTCAAGGTCAAACCAAGCTGAAATTGATACAACACACCCGCAGAAGAGCGAGAAGCTCAATAAAATTCTCCATATAATATATATAAGGAAATTACCCACAACTACAACTCATGCATATGATAGCGAAACGCCCGACTGCTTCTCCACAAACGCCGGTGAAAAATGCAAGAAATTATTTTATTATAGTAGAGGGTTTTACGGCGCTTGTAACAGCATAAGGTCAAATGAGTGCCAAGGGGTGGGTGTCAACAGAGAAGTCTTTACAGGGAATCAGACTTACTCTGCTCACCTCTCTAGCTTCAACAACACAAGGTCTGCTTCAACTATCAAGGCACCCCGGAAATAGCAGGTCACAAGGGTGTGACAAACATACAAAAGAAGTAGAGATAATGACAATAGTAAAGATTAGGAAAGAAAAAGCAGCAGTTCCCTGTTGTAGATCAGGCACAGTTATGAGCGTGACATGAATCAGCCCATTTACAATTCTACTGTGCTTGAACAAGAAATGTCCCCCCTTTGGAAATGGCCTAAAGACACTACAATCAGTGGCACTGCCCCGGGGGGTAATGCAAGAAAGGTAAACAGAAGAAAAAGAGGGATGGAAAAAGAGAAGCACCTACCAGTGGTGCCCTCCAACCCTCTATGGAAAGGGGAACATAAGGCAATGGGAAACACAAAACAGAACACTGCAAGCCTTTATGTCAGATTTTGGGCTATAAGGCATTCTTGAAAGACTATTATTATCATAAACGTCATGTAGCAAATCACAATCTTTCAGTCAAGCCACTCAAAGCTGTATAATTTGTTAACTTCAGCCTTTAGTACACAATATCCCTCTCTTCCCTTTTATTCACAGCTGAGGTCAAATCAATTATTCCTCACCAACCGCAAGTCACAATTTTGCATAAATCAATAACAACGATACAGCCAAAAAAAAAGAAAAAAAAAAGAAGCTGAAACAAATACTTTGTTATTTGCAGTCACATAAGAACACAAATCCCACTTAACAAAAAAAAGCAAATGTGCATGGGGCACTCCACAGAAAATGTAGCTTTACAGCTGAAGACATATTATATCATGTTCCACAACAAATCTCGTTGAGATAACTACACAGATCTAGTTTACACCTGAACACAATGCAATGCCCTTCAAAACTATAAAAATAGTAAAACCTGACCCAGCAGTAACTTGGTACCAGTTCAAAACAAGACGTTCAAAGTACAGACTCACCTCAATCTTACCTATGTACTGTTAAAATCGTTGTACCTGCTCTCGTTATACTGCTATCCCCGCTTACCATCAGGTTTTGCCAATGTAAGAAAAGGAACATCTATATAAAAATAGTATTTGTGCCCTTACACCGCCAACTGTCTGAGTTGTAGTTCTCATTAAGCTAATGTAAACTTGCCCTGCTGTACAGCCAGCGAACTGGCCACCAGAGGTACACACTACCCACAGCGCTCACATAGTGGCTACTTGATAATCTCTTTCCCAGACATGTCTCTGCAAGAACTACCTATTTCTAGGCGCTCTCCGATTTTCTCCAGATTTGCGCAGACTTTGAAATACTATTATTTTTTAGACCTTGGCCAATACTTAAAAAAAAAAAAGGAATGAAGTTATGTCGTCTTGAGAAACTTCAAAGGGGCTACACCAACTCAGCCTGAAAGCTAAATATATGGCATCACCAGGTATCAGCCCAATGACCTAAAGGCTGGTGGGGGCCTGTGAGGCTTTTATACTGTGAAGATCCACGCTCAAATCTACATGATAGGTCTAAGGCGCCCAAGGACTGATGAGTATCAGGCTAAAAAACACAACACATACAGCATAGCTTCTGCTTTTAGCCTCTTTCAAATTAAATACCTTACAGTTTAGCTGGTGCTGTACATGTAATTAGTTGCTACTTATTTTTTCCATGCACATGGCAATCCCACAAGACTGATTTAGATGAGGCAAGACTGGCCCCAGTTTGTCTCTAGTCGCTACCAGTCTACCACTAGTCAAGATGGCAATCAGTGGTATCCCATTACACCACCAGCCCCCTTTACCGCCAATTTTAAGCTCGTCCCAAGGTAGGTGGTATAACGAGATTTGACTGTAAATATTGTGTGTCATACAACAAGAGGTTACGAGGGATGAAAGAGAAGTTTCCAAAAGAGACACAAATGTAAGACAATCCATTCTGATCGTAAGATTTTCCACGTCCCCAACAAAAAGAACCTCAAAAGGCACACACAAGCTCTAAAGACCAAATTACCTCATTCTAGGAAACACTAAGAAAATTCCTAAACAAACAAGAAAGTAGGGAACAAAAACACTGGTGGTGTCAAACCATTGGAGCATATTAGCATAGTTACTGTGCTCAATCAGAAACTCAGTTTACAGACACACAACATTTCATTGATCTATCTAAACACAATTCCACAAACTGGTTGAGAATATTTGATTTTCTGAAACAGCACTAATCTTCTGGACCCGAGATCCACAAAGAAGAACTAAGTAAAAGGAAACTGCCAACAAACCTGCAAACTAAACAGACAAAAATTATTACATAAATTATGCCTCTGTTCTCATCATCATGTCCTCCGATAAGTTGAACTTCTTAAAAAGCAAAAATCTAGCTCCCACTTGAAATTTGAGCCGCACAGGCAAAAGAAACATTCTTTTCAACACGTTTTCAGACATTAATAATAAAGTAGTTCAAGAACGCAGATGACGGTAGGCTAGGCCGCCCATCCCCTGTGGAGTCAAACATAAGTAAGAAAGCTGTTGCAAAAGAATTTTTTTAACACAGCAGGCCTCAGACACGTGATTGAACGATTGTAAATGTTTTACGCCCACATTCACAAAATTTTGATCAATTCAATTTCAAGGCAGGTTGCTTCAAACCTTCCTGACAGAGTCAGCATGTATCATTTCAAAGGTTGTTTATTTTTGTCTTGCTTTCGGTGAAAAAAATACTCAGCTATCATGAATAGAAGTCAAGATATTTGCGACTTAAGGAGGTGAGGGGTTACCTGATTTCAGAAGTAAAATTAGCGAGAAAATGGCCGCCAAAGTCTGGCGACTTCCAAGGCTTCATGGTCCAAACAAACTGCTAATTTACATTTTTGTACCTTAAATCAATATTTTTCAGTAAAATCCACACAGAAATGTGTTTTTAAATGGAACTTAAAGGTGTTGACTTTTTTTTAAAAATTCAATAAAAATTGCTGAATGGACAGAAAAATGCCAGTATCTTCAATTTCATTATTTTGACTAGCACCTTATTTCACAACGACGCCTCACAATTACATGATAGGTATGGCCTGAACATTAGTAATCAGATACCAATTTTTTACAAGATACTTTACGAATCTTTGCATCAAACTATTGCATAGACAAATCAAAACTAGATATCCTGACATGGTGGAATCAGGTGCTCGTCAATTTTTGGGCAAATGGAGTTATTGGTATCCTCTTAAAGCTTGTTGCCTTGTTTTCGATTTTTAACCCATCTATCTATCTTGAATAGAAGTCTTTCTTCTTCTTCTTCCTCGTTCTCGAATAGAAGTCGAAATATTTGTGATTGAAAGAGGTGGAGGTCGCCTGATTTAAGAAGGCAAAATTAGTGAAAAAATGGTCGCCAAATTTTGGTGACTTCCATAGTTTGAGAGTCCCTCGAAACTGAGAGAGAATATTTTTTGTGCCTTTAATCAACCTTTTTTCCCCAGTAAAATGCCCATCAAAATGTTTTAATATGGACACAAAAGGTGAAGAGCTAAAAAACCCACACAAATTTGATAAAAATTGCCAAACCAGCGGAAAAATGTCGGTTTCTTCAATTTCACTATTTTGACAAGCAACTGTTTTCAGCATGATGCCTCACATAAATTTTGGGTTCATGCTGAAGTTTGTTATTCTCATTTTTGGGTCCAAACTAAAATATGTCATAGAGTTATATGAACACTGCGATGTCAATGAGTCAATGTATTCATCATGTTTAAGAACGAACCCCTAATTCCTAATATAATTTTAAAAACTAAAGATTTCCCTACAGACACAGCATTCTGTCTCAGAAAATAAATATATGACCCTGGTCCTGCGGGTCTATGTTCCCCGATAAGCCTATTTCGGCACTTCGCCTTAGTTCCGGTCCTGTGTCAGTTCGGCCCTGGCTCAGCGCATGCACGCAGAGCATCATCTGCGCAATGACCGGGTCCTGTATTCCCGCAGCTTGTGTGTGTGCTTCAGTCTGCTTGAGTTTGTGGCCTACTTCTAAAACCGGCTGTGTTGGTTCATAACTGAGGCCTACGTCTCATTCAAAACACGCCAAGTTGGTAGCTCTAGATGTTCGTCTAACAACTCCATAACTTTTTTCTTGATGAACTGATTCTTAAAATTCAAGAAGCATATTCTTAGAATTGAAAATTCTTTCTTAGTGTACCAAATAAAAAAGGGCCAAAGTGAAATATTAAATTTTCATTGGCATTGCTACATACTGGCTTTAGACCTTCCGTACTGATTTTGATGGCCATTGAGTATAATATTCATAGAGTTCTGAGCGGTCGCTCGATACGGAAGTCCTCCCCCGGAATTAAACGCGAGAAAGTAAACAATTTGGAAGGACTTCCGTAACGAGCGACCGCCCCATCAAACACAATAAAGAAGAGGCCTAACCCTAACCCTAACCCAAACCCTACCCCTATCCCTAGATCTACCCCTACCCCTCAATTCTGCTCTGTCTCATAGTGGTCGCTCCTTACGGAAGTCCTCCCAACAATTTAGTCCAGTTTTTTTACTGTTGACAACAGACAACAGTAACAACTGAGAACTGTTCCGTCCATATTTCAAGGCCAATCAATCATTGCTACTAGATCTAATACTTATTGAAAATATAATAAAAAGTTAAAAGTAAGATCTACAGTGAAGACATTATTTTAATTATTTTGACACAGCAGACTCAGCCTGAGCAGAGTGTGATGCGATGCAAATTCAAGGCCCTGCGCTATCACTATCATCGGCCTATCCTGACCTGCTCGGTATGGATGCCGTAATTTTCACCAGCAGCTAACCTAACTTAGTAGCACCAGTCTCAGTTTTAATTCCAAAAGAAACCAAGCCAAGTAAAACAAAACCGCTATGCTTACGTATTGCACTCAGTTTTTAGTTCAACACAAATGCAGTCATGTTTACGCCAGTCGGTAGCACAGTCATAATCACGTCTCCGCTAGTGTAAAACTTGTACTCGTATGATATAAAAATACTTATTGACTAACTTCCGCTTTACTATTATAGTAACGGAGCAAAAGCTATTCCGATGAGAATAATCAAAATATTATGCCTCTCAAGGATTAAAATAATACATTATTATTGTATACATGTTTTTATCTCTCCGTCGGACTCGGCCACGCAATAAATGGCTATGGTGCTCAATATTGGGCATGTGAGCCTTGGCTTACAGATTAGGGAAAATAATGAGAAAGGGTCAGTTGGGTGCAGCACAAGGAGCAGGAATTTTCAACGTAACTCAACGACCTGCCTCAAGTCATTTCAGTGCCAGCGTTGCTTCCAAGAACCGAAAGAGAAAACGAAAATACAGACGAGGGAAAGACATCTCGAGCGAAAGCAGAGGGCAAAGAGAGAGATTGCGGGGAGGGAGGAGGGAGCAAACAGAGCAAAATAGAAAGAATGGGAGACAGAAAAACAGTTACGCATATATATAT